AGAGCGAGGGCAAGCCCAAGACTCCCCTGGCAATGTGCGGGGCACGCAAGCCCAAACCACCCTGTACTGGATCCCCAATTAAGAAGGGTCAGGACCTGGGGGAGGGCTTCAACCAAACCCATCTGAAGCTTGAGAGCAGGAGCAACGGTCGCACTCATCCTTAGTAGCCAGTGGACATCGTAGAACTAACTGTGCTCGACTTACCACCTGCGAGCGAGAAGAGGCAAAAGGGAAACACCAACATGCATCAGTATACCTGGCGGAACACGATATGGACAAGCACAAGTACAGAGATCATTACAAGTATTGTCGTAGTCGTAGAAGTAGTAAGCATATGGCAGCAGGCAGTAGCAGTCGTCGTCGTCGTCGTCTTCGGCATGGTGGTGGTCATGCTGCTGGTGGTGATGCGTATTACTCCCGCTAGAAACGCATGGTGGGAGCTGTACCGCCAACTGCGGTGCAACAATCCTTCACTCAGCAAAAAGCTTTGTCCACAGTCTAAACTTGTTCATCTATCACGGGTCCTGAGTGTGGAGCTTCACCACGGAGCCGCACTTGCTCGACTTCATTGTAACCCGCGTCATGCTCAGGACCTTCAGCTGCAAGAAACCGCCGCTCTCGCTCTTCAGCGTCACCTGCCGGACTGCGTCTGTCCCACAACCAAATCTCGCAGTTTCAGTCTGCGAAACCGAGGTGTTTCCTGGCTCCAGATCTCAACGACCCCAAGTTGTCAGACGGTACATCTTCGACAGTGGGCATTGAATGAAAACAGTGACTCCAGACCCAGCCTTCCACTGCGAACAATTAACCTTGAGCGAACGACCCCTCAACCCATGAGAAGATCTCGGCAGAGCGTCGTATGTCAAAGATGAAGACTGATAAAGACACCAGGTGCTTGCATGTGTTGCATGATGCTGCCTGTGAATATTGCATAGCATCATCCGATTCTAAATCTATCCCTAAATCGTTCCCCGGTGTCGCCATGTCGAGGTTCTTGAAGACGTCGTCCGGCAGTGTGGAGACGAGCCCTTTCCCGGGCTTGGACTGCGCCACCTGGGCGCCACTGCGCCACACTTCGGATGCGGGTGGAGTCCACGGGCTTAGACTTCTACTTGTACCCCGCGCTGGGGGTGGGGTCAAGGAGCTGAGGCTTCTACCCCTCTTCAAGCTTTCGCGCTAGAGGCTTTGGAGTTGTTGGGCGTGTTGGGCGTTCTTACCAGGAACCCGGAAACCAAAATTAACCTCAAAAGCCCTGAAGCCCAACCAAAAAGAAGGCAACACAAGTCGCAAATGCAAGAACAACCTAATTAGCTAAAGAAAGCCCCAGTCGAGCCTGCAGGATTGGTGAACTGCTCTCCAGGCGGCGGCAGGTGGTGTTTGCCTTAGCTCGGGTTGCAGAGTTCGGGCCCTGACTTCGAAAGAACGTTCGTTTTCTGGGGTGTAGGGGTTGGGCGTAAGTCACTAGGATTTTACTGCATGCTTTTAGGTCGTTTAGTGTTGTTCTTCTTGATTTAGGCCTTTTCTGTTTCTTGTGGTTTAATCGCATTTTGTATTTTCGGTTTAGGATTTTAGGCTTGTCTTCTAGGGTCGTAGGGCTTTCAAGTTTTGCTTTTGGGGGTTTAGGGCGCTTGGATGCTTCTTTTGCGGCCTGGAGTGGTACGCTTGTCCTTTGGCTTAGGGCGTGGTTTGTTCTCTTGGCTTGGGGTTGCAGTGTGAGTTTTTGCCTCGGGGTGTCAAGGTTCTTGTTGCAGCTTCCGGGCTTTTTCTGTTTTGGGGGGTTAGGGCGATCGATGTGTTGTTGGCTTGGGGTGTTTTCTGGTGCTTTTCGGTGCTTCGTTGCTCTGGCTTATGGCTTGGAGTTTTAGTGCCCTAGAAGTTGAAGGTCGAGGATTTGCTCTGGGGGTTGGGAACGTAGGCGCTAGGAGGTAGAACCAGCATGCCTCAAGAATTCTAAACGTATCGTACAGAACCCTCGCAGAACCCTTAACGGAACACTCTTAATGGAAACTATTCGACGCAAGGGGGCCGGGCAGGATGGTGTGACGCTGCCGCGGGTGACCACGGTGCCATCTTCTTGGACTTGGAAGGAGGAGCTGTCCACCTTCCCCATCGAGGGTGATGGAAGCGGGGGTTTAGGTTTTCGGCTAGGGTTGAGGTTTAGCAAAGCCTTTCGGTGTTCTTGCAACGGACGGGGGGGTAGGGTGTGGCGTGTAAGGGTTCAGCATTCAGGGTTTAGGCGGTTTAGGGTCCTGCTGTAAGGGTTTAGTTTAGGGTTTAAGGTTCGGCTTCGAATTGAGACTCCTGCTCCGTCCACGAATTGAATTGAACAGTCCCGCAGCAAGTTTACATCAGAGAAGAGACTTTAGGGGTGAGTGGGAAACGGCTAGGCGGATTAGGAGAGAGGCAAGCGCCACCGAGGCTCAGCATCCCATTGCTGACCGAGAGGAGCCTTAATAATTAGAATAGGATTTTGGTGCCCATTATACTATAACTATGATAAGGAACCCCCAAAAATAGTATGGGTAATTGCTTAGGCCCCTACATTCTTGATGATGCTAGTCAGCCCCTTTGCCTTGACAGTCTCACCGTCGTTGTTCTTCATGACTCCATCCGATTGGCCACGCATCTCCTTTCATGAATTTACGCATTTGTCGCTTCCGACAGGAAACCGGTTTCCATGGAGAAGCAACGGCCCGAATCAGAAAGCTGAAGATTGAAACCTCGATCGCTTCCAATCCTAAACGCTTCTTCGAGCACTTGTCTTTTTCAGTACAAGGCGTTGCTTGCGGTCATCTGTTCCTTGTGCCTGCCGTCGATGCTGCTGTTTTTTCCTTCCATCAGTGTGTCTTGGATGAATGCTTACTTCCTCTTCTTACGCTGACTTCTTCAAAATCACCTCCACCGTTGCGAGCTGCTGCTCGGAAACTGCAAAGCAATAGTGTCATAGAATGAGTCATATAACATGTCTATGAAGAGCACCTTCTGGTTTGCCTTCTTGCTGAAGCAGCTCGACTGGATCAACGCCTAGACCCTAAACCCTTCAAGGTTGTGGGTCCAAACTCCTTCGACATGTCCACGGCCAGGTAAGACAAAATAAAGGTGCCAGTCAAGAGGAGGAGGATGACTGCCGCCAGGCCAAGAATGATCCTGGCAAGCCAGATGCTACCAATAAACACAATCCTGAATACTTTCTTCCAACTTGCAAACATCTGACGATTGAGTGGCTTCATGCTGCAATACAGCTAACGCATGAGGACTCTAGTTGCAGCAGCTCATGTGGCTCTTGTGGCTCTCTTCAAGAATCTCCGAGACCAGGCGGCAGCACCCGAATCTCAAACGCCCAACTCTAAATCCCAAGCCCCAACGCTAAACGTCCTCTTCATGATGCGGCCCTCCTCCTTGACCTTCTTGTGTGCACTGGCCGCTGCGGAAAGCTCGACAACGCTCACGCTTCCACTCCGGTCCAAGTCCCACTCCTTCATCACATCCTCCAGACTTGAGGGCATCAGCGTGTTCGAGACTTCGGGTTACGGTATCCGCGCTTCGAATTCAGTTGAAGGTATTCGTTCAATATGTGATTATATCATTAGGGTGTTCTAGTAAACCCCAAAAACTTGGAAACCGGATTAAGGACAAATAGTGCTGGGATTCCTTATAAGGATTGAGGCTATTTGGTTTCCAACTTTTGGGCTTCTACTGTAGGGTTACTGCATGTGGGCTTCAGGGCTTTGGGATGTTGTAAAGCACCCCAGTGACCCACTAGCCCTGAGCCTTTAGACCCTAGGTCACAACAACAAGCGCCCCTAGGCCCGGGACCCTAAAGCCTAAATCCTACATCCAAAAACCCTACTACAATGCCAACCCCAACATCCGAAAACCAAAAAAAAACTCACCTAGACCCTAAATCAAACCCTGAAACCCAAACCCTGAGAGGGCCTGAACGCAGGCCGGCATGTGAGTATAAGAAACCTCATGGGAGTTCGCCTCCTTCTCCTGGCTTGCTTGGAAGGTCCGCTAAAGAAAAAAGCTTGTCACAACTAGACACCTCTGTAGGGCTATGAGGGAAATCAAGCTCCAGAAAACTGCTATGAAACACCCATACCATTACCAAAACTATACTACAAACCTTACAGAAGCCCTCTTCGAGCTTCCCCGAACCCTAAATTTCAGATCCAACAGAACCCGGAGCCTGAAAGATCTACTTTTCTAAGGACTTATACAAGGAAAACCCTAAGCTTTAGGGTATTTCTGGTTTTAACAAGAACTCTAAACCCTAACCCCTGAACCTCAACCCCCAAACCCTACGAACCCCTTAACCCTAAACCCTCAGTTTTGCTCCGAGCTTCTTTCACGAGCTTCTGCAATAAACCGAGGCCTTTCTCGGCTTCGGCGTGCGACATGTGACCGTGAGAGCCGAAGACTGCCTTGTAGGGCTTTCGAGCGCTTTGGTTCAGGGTAAAGGTTAGAGTTTTGAAGTTTCGTGTGTAGGATTCTGCAGATTCCTGTAAGGCCGCTTTTGGGGCTTGGAGGTCTTCCTCTTGCGTTTTAGAGGTCCTAGACATTTGACCCTTTCGGGTTGAGGCTACAGGGTTTATCTGGGAAACTGGGGTTCAAGGTTGATGGCTTACGTTTCGCGCTTTTATTGCTCGGGGTTTAAGGTTCAGCTGTGGGGTTTAGGGCACAGGGTTTATTCCGCGTAGTTGGATCCAGACTGTGGCTGAGAAGTGTTCGAGCGATTCAGGTGATTTCAGAATGGAACCGCTCCATCCGACGTTGAAGATTTTTTTGGTCCAACATTCGGGCCTTCATGGACGACAAAATTCTAAGTGCATCGCGAGCATTTACGTCGTCCACAACGCCATCATCATCAGCATCCACCACTTTGAGCAAATCCTTCATGGCATCTGAGACCTGGAGCGAGTCCACATCCACCGAAGTTCCATCGGCATTCTTGATGATGACCTGAAGATCGCTTTGAGCACAAACTGTCGAAAACGTTAAAAACATTTAAACTATAAACCAGCTTGGTTCGATTAGCTGCCAGCCTTCCCAGCTTCAGCTGGCTCCTCCCGAATCCCCAGAGTAATCTGGTCGAACCAGGGATCGTACTCTTCCCTGCCAGCCATTGCACTCGTAGAGTGCGATGTCTGAGGCGCTTCGGAAATAGTAAGAGCCAGGCGGCTGCACAGACCAGGCATGCAAGAAGCTCTACTTCGCTCTCAGAGTCTCAGGACATGTCAGGACATTGCACAAAAACCAGACATAATTCTGGTGAATGGCGTGAATCCCCCCCGGGATTCCGGCAGCGGCGTCTCCATCGGCACAACTTCAGCTCGGAGTTCGGAGCGACCTGACCCGGCATCTCTTGCCCTGCCGCGTTGTCCCAATCTTCCCGGTGAGCTCCGAAAAAATCCGATACATGACCTGGGCAGAGAGCTCTGCCTTCCGAGGTGCATCGACGCCCAAGGATCGAAGCCAAGGACTCATGGCCCCACCAAGGTCAGGGACTTCGGGTTGAGGGTTGGGGTTTGGGAAGTAAGGGCTTGGCTTTGAGGCGTACTTCCAAACCCCCATGATTACTAGTTGTAGCTGTGCTCGCAAAGCATCCCATAGCGGAACCTTGTCGCGCAGACAGGTGCTGGTGTGTCAGTTCTCGGCATCGTGCTGCTGCTGGTGATGATGATGCTGCAGATGATGATGCTGACGACAACGACGCCAACGATGACGATGACGACGATGCTGATGACCACCAACATCATCATGACCATATGGTCGATCGTGCTGTTGATAAGAATATTAATCACCACCATCATCATCGTCATCATCTTGATGATGATCATCATCATGATCATGACGGTCATGATGATCATGAGGATGACCATGACCATGAGGACGTTTGTGATGTCAACAAGAACATGTTGGCCATGATGAATGTGGCAACGTTTACTTGTCTCTCCCGGACATCTTGCTGCAGCAGCTGTGCCGCGTCGCTTCATTGCCTTTTTCCACTTGGCAACTGTCATGCTCCTCAAACCGTGATGAGCTCTCCAAGTTTTCGGAGAATCTTGGACCCAAGACACTCCAAACGCTAAGGCCGTTTAACAAGGAGCTTGCTAGGGCATTCGGATTTAGGGTCTTGGTTCAATTTGGGTATGATGATTTCATTTTAACAGCTATCTTATATTGCAGGCAGGCACAGTTTGACTTGGCTGCAGCAGCGCTGTCCCGGCCCATAGCGTTGGCAGGCCAAGTCGGCAGCAACGCTTGAAGACTTCGCGAGACCGCTGTGGCATTAAAAAAAGGCATCAACAGGAAGCTGCCCTGTTGTGCGACTGCAGCATCCAAATCCCAAGCAGGATTTGGACGTTGGTTTTTCTCGGAGAAGTGTATAAACGCAGTTTTGTTGGAATTGTACAGACCATGGCTTTTCTCTCGAGTCCATTTTCGCCACGGACACTGGTCTGCTCATTGCAGCCATCATGATGCACGTTCAGCATCAATCTTCTGAGCACAGTTGCTATTACAATGGCATTGTCGGCACCAGTGCTGTCCCTGCTCAACCGCCTGCATGCTTCGACACGCGGAACACCCCTGTCAAAAACCCGCGACGTGCGCCGTCTGCGCTTGCGCTTCCCCGGCCTCACGGGCACCGAGGCGAACCCAAGAAGCCGATCAAGAAGCTGCCCGTGCTTATGAGGCCTCTTACAATTGACCTGGCTACTGTGGAGGGCAGCTGGAGAGGCTGTGGGCTGGATGCCTGAAGTGCTGTACTACTCTGCAAGTTCGGGCCTCTCAAGGGCGAAGCAGCGAAAAAACGGCCCCGAGCTTTCAAGAAGCTTCCACTCGGAATACCCTAAACCTCTAAGCCCTAAGCCCTAAAGCCTGAGCCAATCAACCAGAATCTTGTTCTACAAGCTCCCGACAACTTGAAGACCCCACTTTCCAGAGTGTGCGCCATAGGGACTTCGATGCCGGCGGAGATTCTTCACAACTGACGCAGGGGAAAGGCATGGAAAGCCTCTACCTTCTACGAACAAACCCCAACACCTAAGACCCTGAACAGTGGACGGGCTCAAGGCGGTCCCGGCCTGGGGACGTGCTGGACATATCCACACTTCAAGCACATGAGGATCAAGGCTGGTCTGCAAAAGATCTCAAGCTCCCTGACTGAAACGGACTAGCTCAGAACCTGTGCGACCGAAATTCCCATCTTACCATACGCGCGGCAGAACTTGAGCTATAGCCTTCGGAGCAAGTCACCACAAACCACCCAGCGCCACAGTGAGCTCAAGAGCGGTCTCCTCACTGCTGGCCATAAGCATGCACATCTCGGGGCACACATCGCTGCATGTGTCGTTGCAGCAGCAATGGGCTCGACCCCGCTGGGCGTTCTAGCGTCGGAAAGCCGCACGACAACAGGAAAAGGCTGTCAACGGGGTCATCGCACAGCCCATCAGCTTCGGGAACTCTTTGCAAGTCTTTGGCCGTCGAAAAGTGCATGGCACCCGCTGCCAAGTCGAGTTAGAACTTCATTCCGAAGCCGATAAGCAAGAACAAAGGTACAGATACCTGACCAGGGTTGCGGAGCTGAAGAGGCTGGCCGGTTCCGTGGCTCCACAGATGCCCTTCCGTGGAAATTAGAGGTACCCTTGTTAAGGTGATCTTGAAGTTATAGATCCTACTACCCAAGGCTTGTGTTGGGGTCCCTCAACTTATGCAGCATCATCACCCTCGGCAGAAACCAAAAGCTGCTCTTCTCACACTGAGGCCAAGTTCGCGCAGGGCAGAGTACTCCGGTATCCAGGTGGAAAGAGACAGTTGCAACCATGTTTATTTGCGACGACTGGGCAAGGCATTGACTTGATCTGTGAACTACGACTGCTCTGAGAGGCTGGGGAGGCTTCATGGAAAAATGCTGCCTGCCTGCCCGTGCCTGCGACGAGATTCCAACCGACTAAAAACGACAACGCAAACACTTCGAATGGCCACAGCTGATGACCGTGGCTCCCTTGCTTGTGGAATTATAGAGAAACAAACCGCTTGGTCACGCCGTGTACAGTCTTGCGGGAGCTACCATCCAGAATCGTGTACCAAGACTTCTGCCAGTTCACGGCCACGAAGCTTCCTTATGCCTGCTAGTCTCGTTCTTGCCACTTCCTGAGTCCTAGCGACCGAGTAACTACCACGTCCGCCTTGGCCGCTTCGGACAGGGACATGTGACCGGGCCAGATACGACCAAGATGATGTACTACAGCTCCGCCACAGTTGCGGCTTGCATCCGTGGGGCGTGCAGTGTCTGGTGCATGTAATGTGTAGAGACAGCACGATTAATTCAACCAAACAGCAAGATGAGCTTAGGTGATTGAACTCAGATCCACTGCAGGCGGATGCCGCGACCCATGGGCATAGCCTCAACTCAACAAGAATGACAGTGCAGATCATGACTTCGAATTCTCACTGATGCCATTCGCGGCATTCCCGGGCATGAACTTCGACTTAACGCAAC